GTTGGAGTGGCTATCCCAGTGGCCAAGAGGAAATCGTGAGGTGACTTTGGTCTGGGCTGAGATGGAAGGAAAAGTACCCATTTGAAAATGTGGGTTTGCCCCAACCTAGCAAGGCAGGCCAATATTCAAGTCCAGGAAATACAGAGAACACCACAAAGATATTTTGCAAGAAGAGCAACCCCAAGGCACATAATCATCAGATTCATCAGGGTTGAAATGAAGGAGAAAATGCTAAGGGCAGCCAGAGAGAAAGGTTGGGTCACCCACAAAGGGAAGCCCATCATACTCACAGCAGATCTCTCGGCAGAAACCCTACAAGCCAGAAGAGAGTGGGGGCCAATATTCAACATCCTTAAAGAAAAGAACTTTCAACCCAGAATTTCATATCCAGCCAAACTGAGCTTCATAAGTGAAGGAAAAATAAAATCCTTTGCAAACAAGCAAGTACTCAGAGATTTTGTCACCACCAGGCCTGCTTTACAAGAGCTCCTGAAAGAGGCACTACACATAGAAAGGAACAACCAGTACCAGCCATTCCAAAATCACACTAAATGCTAAAGAGCATCATCATAATGAAGAATCTACAACAACTAACGGGCAAAACAGCCAGCTAGCATCAAAATGGCAGTATCAAATTCACACATAACAATATTAACCCTAAATGTAAATGGGCTAAATGCACCAATCAAAAGACACAGATTGGCAAATTGAATAAAAAGCCAAAACCCATCGGTGTGCTGTATCCAGGAAACCCATGTCACATGCAAAGATACACAAAGGCTCAAAATAAAGGGATGGAGGAAGATTTACCGAGCAAATGGAGAGCAAAAAAAAGCAGGAGTTGCAATTCTCATCTCTGATAAAATAGACTTTAAAGCAACAAAGATCAAAAGAGACAAAGAAGGACATTACATAATGGTCAAAGGATCGATACAACAAAAAGAGCTAACTATTCTAAATATATATGCACCCAATACAGGAGCACCCAGATACATAAGGCAAGTTCTTAAAGACTTACAAAGAGACTTAGACTCTCACACAATTATAGTGGGAGACTTTAACACTCCACTGTCAATATTAGACAGATCAACCAGACAGAAAATCAACAAGGATATCCAGGGCTTGAACTCAGACCTGGAACAAGCAAACCTGATAGACATTTACAGAACTCTCCACCACAAATCCACAGAATATACATTCTTCTCAGCACCACATCACACCTACTCTAAAATTAACCACATAATTGGAAGTAAATCACTCCACAGCAAATGCAAAACAACGGAAATCAGAACAAACAGTCTCTCAGACCATAGTGCAATCAAGTTAGAACTCAGAATTCAGAAACTAACTCAGAACCATACAGCTTCATGGAAACTGAACAACTTGCTCTTGAATGTTGACTGGATAAACAATGAAATGAAGGCAGAAATAAAGAAGTTCTTCAAAACCAACGAGAACAAAGACACAACATACAAGAATCTCTGGGACACATTTAAAGCAGTCTCTAGAGAAAAATATATAGCAATAAGTGCCCACATGAGAAGAGTGAAGAGATCCAAAATTGACACCCTATCATAGAAGTTGAAAGAGCTAGAGGAACAAGATCAAAAAATCTCAAAACCTAGCAGAAGACAAGAAATAACTAAGATCAGAGCAGAACTGAAGGAGATAGAGACACGAAAAACCCTTCAAAAAATCAATAAATCCAAGAGCTGGTTTTTTGAAAAGATCAACAAAATAGACAGACCACTAGCCAGATTGATTAAAAAGAAAAGAGAGAATAACCAAATAGATGCAATAAAAAACGATAAAGGGGATATCACCACAGATTCCACAGAAATTCAAACCATCATCAGAAAATATTACAAACAACTCTATGCACATAAACTAGTAAACCTGGAAAAAATGGATAAATTCCTGGAGACTTGTGTCCTCCCAAGCCTAAACCAGGAGGAAGCCAAAACTATGAATAGACCAATAACAAGGTCTGAAGTTGAGGCAGCAATTAAGAGCCTACCACACAAAAAAAGCCCAGGTCCAGATGAGTTCACAGATGAATTCTACCAGACACACAAAGAGAAACTGTTACCATTCCTTCTGAAACTATTCCAAATAATTCAAAAAGAGGGAATCCTTCCCAAATCATTTTATGAGACCAACATCATCCTGATACCAAAACATGGCAGAGACTCAACAAGAAAAGGAAACTTCAGGCCAATATCCATGATGAACATAGACACAAAAATCTTCAATAAAATACTGGCAAGCCGATTGCAATAGCACATCAAAAAGCTTATCCACCATGATCAAGTAGGATTCATCCTGGGGATGCAAGGCTGGTTCCACATACGCAAGTCTATAAACGTAATTCACCACATAAACAGAACCAAAAACAAAAACCACCTGATTATCTCAATTGACGCAGAGAAGGCCTTTAACAACAGCCCTTTATGCTAAAAACCCTCAATAAACTTGGTATTGATGGAACATATCTCAAAATAATAAAAGCTATTTATGACAAACCAACAGCCAATATCATACTGAATGGGCAAAACCTGGAAGCATTCCCTTTGAAATCTTTGAGAGAGACAAGGATGCCCTCTCTCACCACTCCTGTTCAATATAGTACTGGAAGTCCTACCCAGAGCAATCAGGCAAGAAAAAGAAATAAAGGGTATTCAAATAGGAAAGGAGGAAGTAAAATTGTCTCTATTTGCAGACGACATGATTGTATATCTAGAAGACCCCATCGTCTCAGCCCAAAAACTCCCGAAACTGATAAGCAACTTCAGCAAAGCCTCAGGATACAAAATCAATGTGCAAAAATCACAAGCATTCCTATACACCAATAACAGACTTAAAGAGAGCCGAATCAAGAACCAACTGCCATTCACAATTGCTACAAAGAGAATAAAATACCTAGGAATACAACTAACAAGGAATGTAAAGGACTTCTTCAAGGAGAACTACAAACCACTGCTCAACGAAATAAGAGAGGACACAAACAGATGGAGAAACATTCCATGTTCATGGTTAGGAAGAATCAATATCGTGAAAATGGCCATACTGCCCAAAGTTATTTACAGACTCAACGCTATCCCCATCAAGCTACCAATGACCTTCTTCACAGAACTGGAAAAAACCACCTTAAACTTCATATGGAACCAAAAGAGAGCCCGCATAGCCAAGTCAATTCTAAGCAAAAAGAACACAGCAGGAGGCATCACACTACTGGACTTCAAACTATACTACAAGGCTACAGTAATCAAAACAGCATGGTACTGGTACCAAAGCAGAGATATAGACCAATGGAACAGAACAGAGGCATCAGAGGCAACACAACATACCTACTACCATACAATCTTTGATAAACCTTACAAAAACAAGCAATGGGGAAAGGATTCCCTGTTTTATAAATGGTGTTGGGAAAACTGGTTAGCCATGTGCAGAAAGCAGAAACTGGACCCCTTCCTGATACCTTACACTAATATTAACTCCAGGTAAATTAAAGACTTAAACATCAGACCTGGCACCATAAAAACCCTAGAAGAAAATCTAGGCAAAACCATTCAGGACATAGGAGTAGGCAAGGACTTCATGACCAAAACACCAAAAGCATTGGCAACAAAAGCCAAAATAGACAAATGGGACCTAATCAAACTCCACAGCTTCTGCACAGAAAAAGAAACAGTCATTAGAGTGTATTGGCAACCAACAGAATGGGAAAAAATTTTAGCAGTTTACCCATCTGACAAAGGGCTGATATCCAGAATTTACAAAGAACTCAAACAGAGTTACAAGAAAAAAACAAACAAGCCCATTCAAAAATGGGCAAAGGATATAAACAGACACTTTACAAAAGAAGACATACATGAGGCCAACAAACATATGAAAAAATGCTCATCATCACTGGTCATTAGAGAAATGCAAATCAAAACTACATTGAGATACCATCTCACACCAGTTAGAATAGCAATCATTAAAAAGCTGGAGACAACAGATGCTGGAGAGAATGTGGAGATATAGGAACACTTTTACACTGCTGGTGGGAGTGTAAATTAGTTCAACCATTGTGGAAGACAGTGTGGCGATTCCTCAAGGACCTAGAAATAGAAATCCCAATTGACCCAGCAATCCCATTACTGGGCATATATCCAAAGGACTATAAATCGTTCTACTGTAAGGACACATGCACACGAATGTTCATTGCAGCAGTATTTACAATAGCAAAGACCTGGAACCAACCCAAATGTCCATCGATGATAGACTGGATTGGGAAAATGTGGCACAAATACACCATGGAATATTATGCAGCAATCAAAAATGATGAGTTCGTGTCCTTTGTAGGGACATGGATGAATCTGGAGAACATCATTCTCAGCAAACTGACACAAGAACAGAAAATGAAATACCGTATGTTCTCACTCATAGGTGGGTGATGAACAGTGAGAACACATGGACACAGGGAGAGGAGCACAACACACTGGGGTCTATTGGGGGGAATAGGGGTGGGACAGCAGGGGGGAGCTGGGGAGGGATATCAAGGGGAGAAATGCCAGATGTGGGTGAAGGGGAGGAAGACAGCAAATCACACTACCATGTTTGTACCTATGCAACTATCTTGCATGTCCTGCACATGTACCCCAGAACTTAAAATGCAATAAAAATGAAAAAAAAAAAAGAAAAAGTAATAATAAAAAAAAAGAAAATGTGGGTTTGAAACTTATAGTAGGAATAATCCCGAGGGAGGTTATTTTAAAAGACATTCTCACCCCAATGACAAATCAGTTTGCTTGATTGAAGGCAAAATTTAGACCCTCGATGGCATGAAGCAATCACCTCAATTAAATTAATACATTGTAATTATTAATATTGTTCTTTTATTTGTGACAAAGTTATAAGATGACAGCATTTTCATGACATAATTGCATTAACTTGTTTTTATGAGTCTTCCAGGTAGAATAAATAAATATTTTCATGACCTATATTTGAAATACTAGGATGAAATCATCAGCTCATCATGAGAATAAAAAGAAGGAAGGAAGCTTCGCTTCATCTAATTTCTAAGGTAAATCAGTTTTTGTCCTTATTTTTGTATTTCAGACCAGCATTAAAGGTGTAGAAATAATTAATATCTGTGTACACATGCATATTATAGTCTTCTACCCTTTTAATCTGTCTTTCTAGAACCTCAAATATATCTACTATGTAAATAACTCACAAGTGTCATTATATGAGTAAGCACTCTAATTAGAAACTAAGTGCTATTAATTTGCACTATTAAAAAGTTAGCATTTTTTAAAGGAATGATTTATTTACCTGTAATGCCACTGGAGCATGATCTGAAAGACATAAAAGACTGAGGTCTAACTAATTAAACATTCACCATTTAACTGAACCATAAAAATACAGAAAGTGCAATTCTGAAGCTGTCCTTCCCTTTCCTATCCCTGAGGATCTGTAGTCTAAATCAGTGGTTCTCAAGTAATGGCAATTTTGCCTTCTACCCCAGGAGACCTTTGACAATGTCTAGAGACATTTTTACTTGTTACAATTGAGGGTTCTATTGGCATCCAGTGGATAGAGGTCAGAGATAGTGCTAATAATCATTCTACAGTACAGAGGAAAGTCCCTCACAACAAAGAATTATCTGGCCTCAAATGTCAGTATTGCCACTTTAAAGAAATCCTGGTTTAGATGAAATTCCATTATTTTCCATATAGTTGACACAATATCATAAAACCCATTTCAAACATCAATCCGAAAACGCATCAGAATCTAATTATTTACAGCCATTCATTCAAGAAAGATTTACTGAGTAATACTATGTGGTAGGCACTATGGAAATAAAAAGAAAGAATCATTCTTAAAAAAGTTGTTCAGGCTGGGTGCAGTGGCTTATGCCTGTAATCCCAGCAGGAGACCAAGGCAGGGGGATCACCTGAGGTCAAGAGTTCGAGACCAGCCTGGCCAACATGGTGAAATGCTGTCTCTGCTAAAAACACAAAAATTGGCTGGGCGTGGTGGTGGGCACCTGTAATCCCAGTTGCTTGGGAGGCTGAGGCAGGAGATTTGCTTGAACCCAGGAGACGGAGGTTGCGGTGAGTAGAGACCACGCCGTTGCACTCCAGCCTGGGCAACAAGAGCAAAACTCCATCTCAAAAAAAAAAACAAAACAAAACAAAAAAAAGTTGTTCAATGGGGAAGACCATTCAATAAACAACTCACAACACCCAGGCTCTTACCAGAAAATTCAATACTGTCTGTTATTTATTCCTATTAAGAGCCTAGTTGAGGCTGGGTGACACCTGAGGTCAGGAGTTACCAGCCTGGCCATTATGGTGAAAACCTGTCTCTACTAAAAACACAAAAATTAGCCAGGCATGGTGGTGCATGCCTGTAGTCCCAGCTTCTCGGGAGGCTGAGGCAAGAGGATGGCTTGAATCCAGAATGAGGAGGTTACAATGTGCTAAGATCACACCACTGCACTGCAGCCTGGGTGACACAGCAAGACTCCATCACAGAAAAAAAAAGTCTCATTGAGAGAAGTGATGGGTGAAAAATTACCTGAAGGATATGTGTTCATCTATGTATCTAGGTAATAGAAATGCTGGAATTAAGTTGGATGATGAAGGCTATATACTTGGATCATGTTATCTTAAGTCCTTGAAGAAATGCCTTCATTAAGCATTATGTTAAAAAAAAAAGACTGAGGTATAATTTTTCTTAAGAGATTATAAAAAATCACTGAACTTTATAAATACAAGCTCCTATCTAGTAATTTGAGATTGGTTATATGATTCTGGGTCCTGAATAATTCTTAGGTGAATCCATTTGTTCCAAAGTTTGCAGGTGCTTTATGATAATTACTGCTTAAACAGTGTGCATTTCAGAGCTAGAGAGTACCTTTGACATCTTTTCATCCATTTTACAGAGCTGTAAACTGAGACAGCAGGGGGCCAAGTGCATTTCCCAAAGAGGCACAGTGAGTTAGTTGCAGAATCCAGTGTGATTTGCTAACAGTATTATCATCATATGGCCTTTAGCCCTCTAGGATTGGGGCAGCCTTTGGCGCCACCCTGCATGAAGCCAGAGCTAATTATTAGAGCCAGGGCAGGGAGTTTCCCAGATCCATCAAATTTCTTGCCTCTGATGACAGGTAGACATCAGAGCAGAGCAACGTAACAAAAGCTTCAGCTTTGGGGAAGACAGACCTTATTAGCTTTGTCACACACTCACTCCTCTGGTTTGACAACTGCAGCTTTCTATATGTGGCCTGCCAGGCAGCAGTGGGTCTCTCAACTAATGCCATGTCTATCTAATAGTGGCAGACCTAGGACATCCCTGATCATTTCCCTGATGCATACATTAAGCACACACATGCCACAAAACAACACACTGTACCTTCTCTGGCTTGTGCCAAAGTGAGTCCCTTGCTCATAAATATAGCAGTATAGGTGTGAATTATTAAATACACCCTGCTATGGGCCTACGTGGCCTTCCTTAATAGAATTTCTTTCTTGCAGGTTGTGCATCCCCTAAATAGGTTCTAGATCAGTCACTGAACACAGGTGGTTTTCTTTTCTTTCCCAAAAGAGTCTTTCAGGAAGGTCTCTGTATGTTACCTCTGTGGCATGTTAGGGTCTAAAAAGAGAAGAGTGGCTCTTCCCTATGTTTCTTCCCACAGGAGACTTGAATCTTTCTTTGTGTCAAGGACCAGAGAGCTCTGGCTCTAACATAAATCACATGTAATCTGCTGGACACTTCCTTCTGCTAAAGGAGGCAGGAAGAGAATGGATGCATTATTGGACAGGCTCACATGCTCCAGTTGTCTTAGGGGTGTTACGGGTTTATTTAGTCCTCTCACCTCCCTGCCATCAAATTCATATGTTGAAGTCCTAACCCCCAGGATCTCAGAATGTGACTGCATTTTTAAATATATGGTATTTGCAAAGGTAGTTAAAATTAAGTGAGGTCATATGGATGGGTCCTTATCCAATATGTCTGGCCTCTTTGTAAGAAGAGGGAAAGAAACCAGGGATGTGCATGCACAGAGAGAAGGCCACATGTGGACAGAACAAGAAAATGGCCATCTCAAGCAAATGAGAGAGAGAGGACTCAGGAGACACCAAGCCTACTAAGCTAGGTATGGGCTTCTAGACTCTAGAACTGAAAACAAATGTTTGTTGTTTAAGCCACTGCATCTGTAATATTTTGTTATAGCAGCCCTGGGAAACTCACCCTGAAGGCAGTTCAAAGAGTACATGGAGCCAAACCTTGGTTCTAGAACCTAGAACCCAGCACCCAAAGGATGGGGATAAGCTTCATGCCTTTTGTTGCTTCCTATGACCACATCTGACCAGTTTCCCTATGAAAGAAGCACAAGGTAATCAATCTCTCAAGCAATGGAAGGGAAGGATGGTGGCCTCATAGCAACACAGATTTCTTTTTGGCAGCCATAGAGCAGGATCATATTTCAGGGAGCAACCCCTATCTAAAGCTTCTCTTACCCAAGAAAACGTCTGTTGTATCAAATCTCCTTAGTCTACATCTTACAGTCCTGGCATTACTACCTATGCCAGGACTGTAAGATTAATTCAAACCTCCTACATATTTGGAGTTTGTGATAGAAGTTGTAATAAAGTTTGTCTTTACACAGAGTGAATGAGGTTATAAAGAAAATCAATCAACTTCAAAGAAAATGGCATATTTACTTCGATCAGCTTCAAGTATGTTAGAAACACACACTTGAATGTGAATAATGGCTGCATCCCTTCAAAGCAATTACCTCTTTCCATAGAGCAGCTGCTTCTCTCCCTTTCTCACCCTAGAAGAGTGATTCTGAGACTATGCTCACCTTGAAAGTTGATTTAAAGAGATTAGAAGGATGAGTGACAATCCAACAGAGCCCATAGGAACAAGAAGACAGGACCAGTATGATTTATTCTGCTTAAACATCTCCCAATATACAACAAATATCTAACACATGATAGACACTCTATGAGTGTCAATTCCATTCTCCAATCTCAATTAATCTAAATAATCAGTTTTTACTATAGTATTGATTTAAGTCCTGAAGGGTAAAAAAAATATACGATGTTTTGAGTTGAAACAATTAAAGACCATCAACTCCAACTCTGTGTAGTCGAGCATGTAAAAACAGAGGTCAACAAAGGTTAAGAGACTTCTTCAAGTTCAGTCACTTATCCTAGTACCTTTTATGTGGCAAGCTCTGAGCTTTTTTGTTGACAAAGTCAGACCAGGACCCTGGGACCTCTGACCCAGAGTTCCCTCCAATCCTGTTCCAGTGCTGCCCTTGAGTTAGTTTTGTTTCAGAAATCACTGTGTGAGCACAGGTAAATCTTGCTATCTTTTTCTGCATGTATTGAAGGTTGATTCCCCTTCCTTGAGTGTAGTTAAAAAAAAAAAAAAAGCTACAAATAAACCCTAAGTACCGACAGGCTTACATCTAGAGAGAAAAAAAGGAAAGAACAATCTACAAATGCTACTTAGGGCATTTGAGAATGCCTAAGGCGTTTTATTGAGCCCCTATTTTGAGCATAACTGGGACATAAGTAGTACTTGTTAAATTAAATCAGATGCTTCCTAATTAGGGAACATCAGGGATATGTGAGCCAAGTCACCTGGAGGGGTGTTGTACAGCTGAAGGTGGGGAGGTTGGGAACAGATCAAACTCATTTTGAAAAATGACTAAAAGTTTAGAGAAAGAGGGAAGGGTTGTTCCAGGCAAAGCAAGCAGAATAAACATATATACACAAGTACATATGTCCAATGTGGAATCTGAAAATGCTTTAAAAAGCAGAAGGTAGGCTGGGTGCGGTGGCTCATGCCTGTAATTCCAGCACTTTGGGAGGCTGAGGCAGGTAGATCACCTGAGGTCAGGAGTTCAAGACCAGCTTGGGCAACACAGTGAAACCCCATCTCTACTAAGAATGCAAAAATTAGCCGGGTGCAGTGCCGCGTGCCTGTAATCCCAGCTACTCGGAAGGCTAAAGCAAGAAAATTGCTTGAGCCCAGGAGGCAGAGGTTGCAGTAAGACATTGCACCATTGCACTCTAGCCTGGGTGACAGAGTAAGACAATGTCTCCGAAAAAAAAAGAAAAGGAAAAAAAGCAGAAAGTAGAATACAAAAATATGTCCTTAAAACTTTGTAACTCTACTGTCTGAGAATTTACATAATTATTTTTAGTCTGAGTTTAGTATGTTTCATTTCACTTACAAAATGTCTTTTTCCGGTTTCCAAGAGTCCCTCCAATGCAAATACAACAACTTTGTGGAAGAAATCAATATCTGCCCTTCTATGTGCTTTCTAATTTAAGCTTAGTAATTCAGCTAATATTTCAGCAGTGTCTCTAAAATGGTCCTAAGGAAGGCTGAGATGCTTTCACGCTTGTGAATGAACCAAACGTAGAGCACATTATACCTGCTATGCCCACAGATTGGTCTTATTTTACTGGTGCCAAAAAGAAAAAAATCTGTAGCGGGGGGGCAGGTAGAAAGTTGGCAGTGATAAATTTCTTCAGAAGAGAACTTATGAGATCCAAGCAGCAACCACGAACACACACACACACACACACACACACACACACACGCAACCTGCTCATCTGCTTAATGCTTTAGAATGCAACAGAGACCAAAAATGCTTCATAGTGAGTCCTGGAAACATTTTTAAAAGAAGAAAAATATCAATTCAGGAGGAAATGCTTCAATTTTTCCATAGTTATTGCTAAAAAAAAAAATCTTGCATCTGGCTATTATAAAATATCTGGTACCAGACAAGCTCTCCTATCATAATCCTTAAAAGTAACAACGAACAATTAGGAAATTAAATTTAAAGTACTATTTGCAATAGCATCAAAATATAGTATGATTAGAAATAAATTAATGGAAGATATATAAACATTCTACATTAAAAACTATAAAATTTTCTGAGAAAAAGTTCTTTAATTTTTATTTATTTATTTTTTAAGAGTCAGAGGGATGGCACCATCATAGCTCACTGCAGCCTCAAACTCCTTGGCTCAGATGATTCTCTTGCTTGACCTTCCTGAGTAGCTAGGGCTACAGGTATGCCACAATGCCCAGCTATTTTAAAAAAAGAAATTGTAGAGACAATTTCTGTAGAGAAATTGTGGAGACAATTCAGGAGGATCTTGCTATGTTGCCTAGGCTGGTCTCAAACTTCTTGACTCAAGTTATCCTTCTATCTTGACCTCAAAAAGCATTTGGATTATAGGCACAAGCCACACACCCAGCCAGAAAAAATTTTAAACATCTAAATAAATGTATAAAAATATTATGTTTACACATCAGAAAGTTCAATGTTATAAAACTCCACATTGTCAATATTTAAAAGTCTAAATAAATGTTAAGGGATACTATGTTCATGAATTAGGAAATTTAATTGATTTACAAATTGATCCATTGCTATAATGCAACCAAATTTCTAGCAGGTAAGATGATTAAAAAATAATGCAAAAAAACAAGAATAGCAAAAGCAGTACAGAAAAAGAACAAATATTGGGTGACTTACCCTACCTAATATAAAGATTTACCAGAAACTTCTAGAGTCAATACATAATTCTATTGGCCAAAGATATAGACATAGTTTAAAGAGTCCAGATATAAACCCACACATATATGGCTAATTGATTTTTGACAAATGCATCAGAATAATTCAGTAAGAGTCTTTTCCCTGTAGGGTTCTAAAACAGCTGAATATCCATGTGCAAAAACAGAAAGAAAGAAAGAATCTTAGCTCCTATCTGTTGTCATATGCAAAATTTAGTTCAAAATAAACCATAGACCAACATAAAAAAGATAAAACAACACAAGTTCTAGAAGAAAACATAGGAGAAAATATTCATAAACCTTGGATAGGCAAAGATTTCTTAAACAAAACACAATAAGCATGGATCATGAAGACAAACAATAATACATTTCTTCATAAAACTTAAATCTTTCTGCTCTTAAAAAATATTATTAAGAAAATGAAAAGGTCAGCCACAGACAGGGAAAAGATATTCACAATAGAGATATGTGACAAAGGACAAGAACCTAGATTATAAAAAGAAGTCTTCCAACTCAATAATAAGATACAATTTTAAATAAATATGAATAAATGGACCAAAGATTTAAATAGGCATTTGATAAAAGAAGCTATATTAATGGCCATAGAGCATAAAAAGAGAGCAAACATCTGTATTCATTAGGAAAATACAAACTAAAACCACAAATGAGTCCCATTACATACTACTTAAATGACTAAAATTTAAAAGGGTGATAATAACAAGTGTGGAGAAAGACATGGAGCAACTCATACATTGATGCTTGGATTGCAAAATGGTACAACCACTTTAGAAAAAAGACTAGTAGTTTCTTTTAAGGTTAACCACACACTTAATACATAATTCAACAGTTTCAATCGTATTGAAAATAAATAAAAACATATTCATTTACATGAGAAAAATATTCATTTACATGAACATTTAAAGCAACCTTATTCCCAACCACCCCATACTGGAAATAACCCAAATGTTCACCAACTTGTGAGTAGATAACCGAACAATGGTAAATTCATACAATGGAATACAACTTGGTAATAAAAATGAACAGACTACTGATAGGTATATTAACAAATCTTAAACGCTATGCTGAGTGAAAGAAGAAAGAATATGATTTCATTTATATAAAGCCTTTGATCATGTAAAACTAATTTATAATGACAGAAGTCAGATAAGTGTTTTCCTGAGGTAAGGAATATGGCAGGGGAGAGGGGGTGGAAGAGGAGATCAACTACAAAGGGCCAGGAGGGAAGTTTCGGGAGCAATGGAAATCTTGTGTGTCATGATTGAAGTGGTGGTCACACTTGTATATACATTTGTCAAAATTCATCAAAGTGTACACTTAAAATGTTAAGTATTCTATTCTATATCAATTATGCTGGAAGCAATTTGATTCAAAAAGTAAAGATCATAAAAATAAAGAGGAACATGCACACTATATTATAGTTTACAAGGGGGTTCAATTGTGATTGTTTGCTCAATATTAATCCTTACCACCACCTTGTGAGTAGGCATACATACAAGCTCTTCTTGTGAAAAAGTCACAAAATTATTTGTTTCATTCCTAAGCTGCACTGTGTCACTTGGCTCGCTTCATCTACACACTTTGGGGGAATAAGAACCCCCACTCCCTATGCACACAAATTATAAAGATGCTTTGACTGGTTCATTGCCTAGATATGGAGGGTTGCCTACGGTAATAATGGTTATACTGATTATTTTTTCTACTCCATTATTGGCCAGGCATTGCATGAAGATCTACTCAGGTAACTCTCAAAACAGTCCTGGGAGGTAGGCATTATGATCTCTATATACAAATGAGGACACTGAACCTCAGCAAATTTAAGGGAATTGCCAAAGTTCACACAGGCAGCAAGTGGCAGAGCTGGGGATCTCAGTCTGATGGACTCAAAGCCCCTGCTCATTCCACACCACCACATTGCCTCCATATTTCAGATAAATGGGGCTACTTCTCTTCAGGAACTCAAGTCATTCAGAGGAGCTGGCTGGGAGTGGTCCTTTGGAGAAGACTGAGGTAGAGTCAAAAGAACTTCAAGTCTAGGACAATGTGGTCTGCACCCCAAAAATCATGTGGGACCAATGCCTCCCTTACCTGATAGATGGACACTGAGATCCAAAAGAAAGGAGGGTGTCAGTCAGTGAAGAAACAAGGAGGCACATTTGGGTAACTTCAATAAAGGATGCTGATGGGAACAAGTAGGGGAAAACTTCAGCATGGCCATACAGGCAGCAGCCCCCTATGTGAGATGATGTTTCTGGTAGGAGAACTGGAGCCACACAGTTCTTGATGCAAAGTGTTGTAGGATGGAGATTTCATGTTGGGAAATATTTCAGGAAGACCCACTTTTCATTTAAAGAAGAAAAATTAAGGGGGCATCAGAGTGTGATAGATTATTAGGATTGATTTGATGTTGAGTGCCCACTCTAACAATTGATGAAAACAGGTTTGAAGTAGAGAATGCTGACATAAAATCCTGGCTCTGTACTTACTAGCTGTGCAATCTTGGGTGAGTTACTGCACCTCTCTAAGCCTCTCTCTTCTCAGTTGGCAGATGCAAATAATGATGCCTACTTCATAGCAGAGATGGGAGATAGCTGCTTGCAAAGTGCTTTCCTGGGTGTCTACTACCAGGTAAATGTTTGACCCTCTCCTCTTGTGGGTAACCACTTAAAGCCTTAGGCTTCAACCTTGATTTGAATCCTTAAATTTTAGCTCTGCTGGCACTTGTCTGAAACTGCAGCTGCCCCTAGGGAGTGGAGCCTGTTGGAAGCCAGTCCTCTTCCCGCTCCTTCCTGCTTTTCCTGTCTCCCTAGGTCCTGGCATTCCACCTACTCCCAGGATTAGTACTGCCTACCCCTTGCTTCAGACTGCCACAGCTCTCCATCATCAACCTGCCCAGAGGATCTGCCCTAACATTCCCTGCACAGGCTCTGATGACAAGGGTGGAAACAAGTTTCTGTTCTGATAAAAACTCAGTCACAAAAGTTCCAGGCATTTCTGCTGAATCCCTGTATAATTGGACTTAACAAAAGACAAACCCGATCATGTCATGTTCTTGATTAAAATCTGCCTCATATTTCCTAAAGTTCAAACTGCTTAGCATGGCCTGCCACGTCCCACAGGACACAACACACGGCACCCTCTCTAACTTCCTCTCTCACTACCTCTACAACCAGCACCGTAGGCATCCTCTACCTTCCAGCCAGACTGAATTACCTTCCCTTCCCAAACCTGTTCCACTCTTCCTTGCCCCAGGGACTTTGTACATCCTATTTCTCTTGCCTGGAATCCTTGTCTCCCATCTCCTTCAACACCCTCTGCCTGGCTTGTCTCTGTTCTTCCTAAATCAGTTTAGCCATTATCTGATAAGTTATCTCTGACTTCCAATACTTATTTGGGGCCCTTCTTGGGTGTAGCCCTGGCTTGCTAAACTTCGGTTTTAAGACTAATCACCTTTAGTTGATTTTATTGTTTCTTTCCCACTAGACTGTAAGCACATTGAGAGTGGACCTGCATTTAGATTCCTGTACTCCAGCACCGACTAGAGTGCCTGCCATGGAAGGGGCACTCACTGAGTGCTTATAGAACAGATACATGAAAAGAACTAAAGGAAGTCAGGAAACACACTGGATGAATGACAACCACATACCTGTGAGGTAGGTGATGGGCCTTAGAAAAGACAACCCCTAGAGGAAATAAGGCAAAAGTAAGAATTTCTGTAATAAACTTTCTGTGAGATTTTTCAAAAAATCTGAGCACATGGAGCCGACTGCAATCCAAGACCACTAGACCACCCTGGAAAAGCACTGCCTTCTTCTCAGAATTCCATGGGAATCCCTGTCTGCCCACATTGTGCTCTCAGGCCACACAGTCTGAAAATGGAGTGTCACATTTTTTCGTCTGAGCTATGTGCTGGTCTGCTCCAAATGCGGAAGGAAACAGCATTCTCTAGGCACAAAGAATGCACTCAGACCCACTGACTAGGAATGTATTTTGAAACCAAAAAGTTTGGGAAGAGTTAAGCAGCCTGGAAGCTTTTAGAGATCTGTAGCAAATGAGATTCAGCACAGAGACCTCCCAGGATGTAGGATTTGTACCAGACAGGAATCAAAGTTGTCCCAGATCTGGTAAAGATTTCTGAGGGCTGAAGTCATTGTCAAAGATCTATTTGCAGCAGGTCCCCAAGGTTGGTGCTAAGATGCAATGTCTGTTCTCATGCAAGACCTGCAAGGGCAAGCTTCTTTGCCCCAGCTGATGGGCAAATTTTGACCAATAATAGGCTTAGTTGACAGGACCACTGAATCATTGTGATATTGTTGAATAGAAATACTACAGGCTAATGTCTGGCTGTGACATGGACTGTTATTAATGACTGTCTCCTGCAAGCTCTATTTTTTTCATATCTGAAATGTAAACCCAGTGAAGCTGTATTCCCAGCGGACCATACATTAGGACAATCGGTCTAACAGCTGACTGATCTAGCACAGCAATTGAGAGGGTCGTTTGTAGAGTCTGGATGCCTAGATTGAATCCTGGCTCCACTATTTGTTGTGTGACTTCCTTCCTTAAACTCCAAGTCTCAGTGTCCATATCTATAAAATGGAAATAATGAGAGGATGCACAAGAGTAAAGGTTCAGTAACGTGAAGATTCAGCACAAAACCCTTGCAAGTTCTTGTGACACAATCAAATCAATAAATGTTAACCATCATTAGTAAAACGGGGTTATCCTTCACAGTCCAGGGTGAACAGCAGAACCAGGACAGAATCTTTGCTTCATTGGTTCCCCTTACAATATTCCAAAACAACCTTGCAGCTTCAACTCGAAGACAGTCACTGATTTGGCTTTGTTCTCCATTTCAGTCAACACGTATTTACTGAGATGATGTGTCCAACCAATGCTGGCCTCTGAAGCTCTGAGGCTGCAAAGATGAAGAAGAAATGGTCCCAACCCCATCTGAACTCACAGATGTCTGGGAGAGTTCAATTCAAAAAGACATCAACACAGAATTAGCTCTATTTTATTATACTGTAATAAGTCAAGTGAGAGAAGGAGGCTGAGGGGACTGTCGTCCCACAGAGAAGGGGCCTAAAGTATGTGAAAGGCTTTCTAAAGGGCAGGAGGTGAAAGGGGGTCCTCAAAATAATGGGAGGCAGAATTTGGCAGCTGAAGAAGGCAAAGTAAGCAAGTCCAACACAGGAAAGAGCCACAAAGCCCCAAACATGCCATGCTGTCTGGGAACAATTGGAATGAGCTGGGGATATGAGAGTAATTCGCTTAAGCTAGAGGCCAGAGTACGAAGGCAGTGATGAATTGGGGGCTTGGTAGGTAGAGGCCTATTAGGGAGAACCCATGAGCTAAATGCAGATTTCTCAACCTCGGCATTATTGACATGCTGGACAGGGTGATTGCTGTGAGAGGCTGTACCGTGCACTGTAGAATGTTTACCCCAGGCCTCTATTCACTGGATGCCAGTAGCAAGTCCCTCTAACACACCCCTTTTGTGACACCCTAAAATATCTCCAGATACTCTAAAATGACCAGCAGAAGTGAGGGTAAAATCACACCTTCCCCTCCCTCTGTTGAGACTCACTGGACTAAATTAAGGACTTTCAGTTTTAGGCTGGTTTAGAGGCTCCTGAGGTAAAGTAGCATGGTCAGATACGCAGTTAATTTGGATTATTTGGCATTAGAAACAGAGCACAGAGACAGCCAATCTGGTTCAGGAGCTACTGCAACAATATAGGAAAGAAATTATAAATGACAATGGAAATATTAACCAAGGGATGTTCTCTCTCTCTCCATCTATGTAATATAATGGATAATTAGTATATGTACAAATATATAGTGTACATAATATATATAGTAGCATATTAATGCACACACACTAATTAATGCTATAAAAAAGGGAAGAGTGACTATAAGAGAAGAGAATGATAAGTCTTTTTCTCTTCTCCTAGGATAAATATAAACTTTTTTTGAATTGTTTATAATTCTCCATAATAATTATAAATACCATCATCATACTTTAAAATTGCTAACACCATTACACAAACATTAGCTCATGGAATTCTTGCAACAGCCCCCTAAATCAGGTTTTATAATCCCCATATTAAGGATGAAGAAAGTGAGGTTTAGGGAGTTAACAATTTACACAAAGTGAAGCAGCCAGTTAAGTGAGTGGGGACTCACTTCTTGAGTGCAAATTTCATTCTCTTTCCACTGTATCCTGAAATATGTTTCATAAACACAAGGCTTATGGTACTCTGATTCATTGCAATCAGTTTGATCTGGGACATATAAAATAACTCCATTTAGTTTTTCAAACAATACATTTCCAAGCAAATGACCTCATAAAAATACAAAAGGAAGAGAATCCCCCAAAGTGGAAAGTTTTGTATGACTTGCATGCTTGCTTTCTTTTTTCTCTCTGTTTCGGTATTAATGAAAGATGTGCTCTTTTTTTCCTTACTCTGTCCACGCTCTCTACGCTCAGCAGCCCTAGCTGAAGCACAGACCCCACACACTAACTTGTCCCTAGAAACTCTTCAGGCTTCTGTGAACTTGAAACATGAAGTGAGTGTGCAGTTGGCCACACCACATAGACCACTGAGGAAGTGGCAGAGAGGATCAAATCCTTTACTTAATTGGTTTGAACATCCCTTGTTGCCAACAAATCCTTCTTGTTTATGTTTGGAAGGAGAAAAATTAGGTTATTAAAATTAATTTAGTTTCATTTAAATTAATACATCATAATTGTATTTAGGTACGAGTTATAGTGTGATGTTTTGATATATATTAGAGAGGTTGGAAACATTTAAAATATTTTTGCGATTTGGAAATACGCAAGACTTTATTAGCTATAGACTAAAGTTTATTCCTCCTGTCTAACCGAAATGCTGTACCTTGTGATCAACATCTCCCTTTCCCTATCCACCCGGCTTCCTACCCTCTGGTAACCATCATTCTACTCTCTACTTCTATGAATTCAACATTTTTAGATCCCACATATATGTGAGATCATGTGGCATTTGTCCTTCTATGACTGGCTTATTTTAGTTAGCATAATGATCTCCAGCTTCATCCATGTTGTCAAAAATGACAGGATTTCTCACCTTTTTAAGGCTAAGTAGTATTCCATTGTGAATATATACCCCATTGTATATATCCACTGATCTGATGATGGACATCTGGGTTGCTTCTATAGTTCAGCTATTGTGAATAATGCTGCAATTAACATGGAAGGGCAGGTATCTCTTCAGCATACTGATTTTAATTCCTTTGGACATACAACCACAAGTGAGATTAATGGATTGTGTGGGAATTCCATTTTCAGTCTTCTGAGGAAGCTTCATACTGTTGTCTATAATGCCTGTATTTTTTTTTTTTTTTTTTTTTTTTTTTTTTTGCTCGTGCAAAGTTTATAGCTGATAAATTGGTCTAAATGTTGTTAACAGGGCAAGTACACCTGGGGCTAAACATGATTCAGCAAGACTTGGGAAGAATGTGTGCATCTTCCCTAGTTGCATCCACACATCATTTGTTACGCTGTTTGAAAGGCTTGGCTGGTGGCTGTACCCAGCCCTGTCCCCACCCTGAGTTTTAAAGCTTGCTCCATTTACAGAGTTTTCCAGCAATTCTGAGAAAAAAAAATTTCTGGAAGGATCATCAGTATTGTTCTACTGTGCAGGAAAGAGAAATATTACAGAACGTATTCAAACTACATAGTTGCTCTTTTTTTTAACATAAATTTGCTTGAGAATTGGATTAAAAGTCAGAGGCTAATTTGGCCACAGGAGGTTGAAAGAAACAAATATTTATTCAGAGCTTATTAAGGGCTAGTATTTGTGCTAGACACTCTGCTGCTTATCTCATTAATTCTAACCACAGTTCTGTGAGAAATCGTCTCTTTATCCTCATTTCCTTTTTTTTAATTGCATTTTAGGTTTTGGGGTACATGTGCAGAACGTGCAAGATAGTCGCATAGGTACACACATGGCAGTGTGTTTTGCTGCCTTCCTCCCCTTCACCCACATTTGGCATTTCTAAAAAGACACTTGGAGGCTCAGGAAGTAAAAACAACTTGCCCAAGACCCCTCAGTAAGTAAGGGGCAAAACTGATAATATTTACTCACCCTTTAAACCATCTGTTGACAGTCTGCTCTTGCCAGGCACTGTTCTGGGCACTGAAGATACATCGGTGACCACACAGACAACATCATCTGTGTGCAGAGAGCACCTGGATGGAGAGACAGACAATAAACATAATAGATATATAAAATGTTTAAATATAAGGTAACAAGTGCTGTAGTAGTCATTGATGCTGTTTACCAAATATCTCCAGGGCTTGGGTTTCCATGTGCCTGGCTCTGGCAAATGAATGGTGAGTGGTGTCACTTCTGTGCTTGAGAGTGTAATTGCTAGTTTAAGACCCTCTTGGACACTTTCTGCCTCCTGCCATGGTGATGGGCAAGAATCCAGGTGGTGGTGACTCCATCAGCCTGACTTACAGGTAAGAACCACAGAGCCAGCCTCTGTGGTTGGGGACACTAGATTAGAGTGAATCTGGAAGGAGAAACAAGGCTATATGAAAGAGAGAGAGAGAGAGAGAGAGGTCCAATGGCTACTGGGGTAAGTAATGCACACTGATTCTGAGCATTGCAATAAGGGTTACTGTGAGGTCCTGCCCTGGAGTTCAAGACCAGCTGAGCAAATAGCCTAGAGCCAGCAGCCAGGGGAATAGAGTCTAATGGGCTACCTTTCATTATAAGAAGGAGCATGGTACAGTGAAGGAGATGGGGAAGAGGTCGTGTAGACATGGGATCAAATCTTCATTCTACAATTAACCAGCTGAAGAAAAATCTTAACCTTGAAATAGTTCAATTCCGAACTTCATTTTATTTGCAAAATGTAAGTAACAAACTTTTGCTTTATGGAATTGTTCTATTAAGACCTAAATCAGGTGGAGTCTATGAAATGAAAGTGCACCAGCTTTTCCTCTGTTGCCCCAACCCCAGTGCTCTTCCTTAGGCACCTGGTCTTCAGAATTATGAATTCTGTGTTGTCTGCATCTGGCTTCAAGCATGACATTTTCCAGCCAAATTAGATCGCCTTTTCTTTTAAAAGGTTGGTTCCTGTTTTGTGTTTTTTTCACTTGTTTTTTTTGTTTTGTTTTGTTTGGGTGTTTTTTGCTTTTCATTTGTCTTCAAAAATGATTGATGTATCCACTGTTTCACATTCCAAAGACAGGACACTCTTCTCAGGATTAGTTTTGTGTTGTGTAACAAACAAGCATTTATTCTTACTTCCCATGAGAGCTTCTCTATCTTCTTCTCCTCTCCTTTTCTATTTTTCTTTCTTTCCAATAAACAGTGAAGAAGAAAGTTTCCTAATGGTCCGTCTCCTGAATCACCCTCCCTTCTCTTGGGACCCCATCTGTTGATGGAAATGTATAATTGGATTAAGCAGGTTTATGTCTTCTCATTCTGTTTCCTGTGTAATTTATGTTTCACCACACAGCTATTAAAAAAGAAGAAGAAGAAGAAGGAAGTGTCTTCCTTGTTCACAGAGAAAAATCAATTATCCTTCCCTCTAAAATGAAATCATATGTATTTATTTGGTGGGAAATCTTCAAAGAAACTAAGAAGATCCCTCTAAAATATTCAGGCCATCCTTATAACTCCCCCCAACCTCTGTGTCTGCTTTGATGTTTTATTAATCAAAAGTGTGTTGGTTATACACTGGGCACTATATTAAATATGAACAAGACGTGATCTGATTCTTTCCCTCAAGAAGCACAGAGCCTAGAAGAGGAACTAGACGTGGCACTTTGCAGTGCAGTGTGACTCACAGTGCTGAGAGCAATGGTTAGAGGTGTCCAAGGGAATGCAATTGATTTGAGGCTCTGGTATAGCTAGACCCAAAGAGTAGGGGCAGGAGTGGGGATCCTGGGGGGACAGAGAGGTGGGAGATAAGGTTTGAGTGGTCAGCCAATCATTTCATAAAGAGCTCCAGTTCCATGGGTGAAAAAAATGTATAGTTTATTTGTTTTTTCCAAGAGAGAAGAGGATGAGAGCAGGGATCTCCAAACCCCAGGAAAGGGATGGGTACTGGTCCATAGCCTGTTAGGAACTGGGTCACACAACAGGGGGTGAGTAGTGGGTGAGCAAGCGAAGTTTTCTCTGTACTTTACAGCCACTCCCCATCACTTGCATTAGGACCTGAGCTCTGTCTACTGTCAGATCAGCAAGGGCTTTAGATTCTCATAGGAATGTAAACCCTATTGTGAACTGTACATGCAAGGGATCCAGGTCACACACTCCTTATGCGAATCTAATGCCTAATGATCTGTCACTGTCTCATCACCCCCAGATGGGACCATCTAGTCGCAGAAAAATAAGCTCAGGGCTCTCACTGATTCTACATTATGATGACTTGTATAATTATTTCATTATAGATTACAATGTAATAATAATAGAAATTAAGTGCATAATAAATGTAATGTGCTTGAATCATCCTGAAACCATCCTCCCACCCCACCACCTCATCCATGGAAAAATTGTCTTCCATCAAACCCGTCCTTGGGGCCAAAATAGTTGAAGACCACTGGATTAGAGGATTTTGGCTTTCGAGATTGACTTCAGAGCGAATGTGGACTGGTTCTAATTCAGAAATGGAAAATAGAGACACGCAGATAAAGAATGGAATTAGTTAGACACCGTGGTGGGAAATGAAACCAGTTATCTCATTTGATTCTCACTACACCCCAGCAAGAACCTGCTTCATCAGAAGCTATTATTGTACTCAGTTTATACTTGATAGGACTATGGTTCAGAAAGACTACATGGGGAAAGGGCTATCACTGCTCTACTTCCCACCAAAATTGACCACTGGGGATCAGCAGAGTGTGTGGGGCCAGAGCACCTTTGCATGCATCACTCTAGGCTGTGATGTGCTCACGTGCAGTGGCCCAGGGCCAGGGGCTCTGCATCTGCCTGATGGACTGAGAGCCATGGCAAGGCTCTTCCCAGTGACAGTTAGAAAACCAAAATGATGTATCCTTACTATGTGGGTTTTTTTTTTCTCACACATTTGTTCACTTCATGAGCTTTTATAATTATGGTGTCCTGAATCTGACAAAAGCTAGATATTATGCTAGATGAGCCAATGGTAGCTGGAAGAAAGATGCATTCCCAATAAAATGTGCAATTACCAGAGATGGCATAACTCCAGCTAAGGGTCCTAAAGCCCCTGAGACACTTTTGCTCTCTCCCATTTTTGGGGATTTCGACATTGATATACAAGTGGAGGTTAGACCCTAGAACATCACCATTGGATGAATAGGGCTTGCATAAAAGACACACAGTCTCCACAAATCTTTGCCTTGGAATCTAGAGAAACATGTCATAGGGGGACCAGGGCCATCTTCACCAACTACTCAAATGGTATTTTCCACATTGCTATCTGAGAAAGAAGACAGATGCTGGTGTTGGGGCTCCAAACAACTTCCACTGGCAGGCCATTTCTTCAGCAGCCTCCCTCTCTGCGTGGACTGTGCTGTGTGCATGGATAAGGACATGAAGCCTACTAATCACCTGAGAGAGGAGAACCCCTTACTCTTGCTTCTATAGGACCTGTCAGAAGGAGTTTACTAAAGACTTTGGTCTTTGTCTGAAGCCTACATTCTCAAAAAGGAATGTGATTTTATTTGAGTCACTTGCAGATTCACCAAGGCCTGTTATCAGGTAAGAATGGTTGACAAAAATAAATAACAATGTGGATGTTGGCCAGTAACAAAGCCACTTGAACAAGAACCTGGTTCTCCGGAAACCAGTTGAAATGATTTTGCTGTATCCCCACCCAGATCTCATCTTGAATTGTAGTTCCCATAATCCCCACGTGTCATGGGAGGGACGAGCGGGAGGTAACTGAATCATGAGGGCAGTTACCTCCATCCTATTCTCATGATAGTGAGTGAGTTCTCACAGATCTGACAGTTTTATAAGGGGCTTTCCCCGTCTTTGCTCTGCACTTCTCCTTGGTGCCACCATGTGAGGAAGGATGTGTTTGCTTCTCCTCCCATTATAAGCTTCCGGAGGCCTCCCCAGCCCTGTGGAGCTGTGAGTCAATTAAACCACTTTCCTTTATAAATTACCCAGTCTCAGGTATGTCATGATTAGCAGCGTGAGAACAGGCTAATACACAAGTCAAAGCCATTTTCCTGGATTGCATGTGGGATAAAGAGCTGCCAGGCTGACCCGAAGAAGTTCAGAGATGTAGCCAAAGAATCACTATCTAATGAGTTTAAAGGGCTAGGCTTCCAAGAAGGTAGTACAGGGAAAGGTGTGAGGGATCTTAGGAGGGCTATCCGTCCTCCTTACAGGTCAGCCTCATTGGGCCCCTTGAACATAAATGGACTAGATAACACCAACGACCTCTCATCTGACAAATGAGGGTTCTGACAGAGGGTGGCTTTTCCAGCACTAGGAGGGAGACTCCCTGACACAACCAGGCAGTGTGCTGCAGGGTTAGACAGAGCAGCCCCGCCTCTCACTGCTGCACATTCACATGTTGTCATTTGAAGCCATATTGCCCTCTCTTTTCAAAGTGCCATAGAGCAGTTGTTTCATAACGCTTAGGAACGCCATCAAATTTGGATTTTATTTATAAGATGGAAGGTCTTCTTTATATGCATGCATAAGGGGAGGATACAAATCAAGACCACCTTCCTGACTGTTTTTTGTCTATCTCAAGGCAATGTTGGGTTCCTAAAAAGAGCAGTTTTTTTGTTACCCGGCCTCCTACTGATTGGCTCTCTGGTGGTGATGATCTCTGGCTCCCTCTTGATCTCTCAGTTCCTAACGGAGACTTTGCTGTCAGTTCCTAATGGAAACTTTCATTTTTCTTCTTATTCTCCAAGAACTTACAGTGACATGAAATGCATCATTTTTTGGCCCTGCTTCCACCCCCCAGCCATCCTGTCCCTGGTTTTTTTTTCCTCGTTGTACAAGTCAGAAAGTCTCCCCCTTAAAGCCTTTATCCCTTTCCTATGGTTTGCAAAACCTCATGATATCAGGGTTATTTTCCAGCCATAAAGTGCTCTGATTCAAAAGAATAGGTTCCTCTCTGTTAGTGCTAAGCAATCTTTTAATTCTCAGATAATTCCAAGAGTAATATCCACAATCCCTTTTTTCTCTACAATTCAAAATGAAGATTGCTATGTAGGATCCTCAAGAGTCCACTGCTAAAAGAGCCCAGGGCTTTTTCCTGACCCTTCAGGTAGGATAGGAGTTAGGGGTTGCTCCAGGGTAGGTCCCTCAACCTTTATCCCTTCTTTGAGGGCCACAAGCTAAGAGCCCCTTCCAGGCACTACCCTCAGGTAACAAGAGGTTCCAGTAACTCCTGTGCTATTGTTGTGTGAATTTGTCTAATAGGCTACTTCTGAGGTAGTTTGCTTATAAAATGCAGTCTTTTCATTTATCGACTACCTCTGGTTGAAAGTTTCATTGAGACGATTTCTATGGTGAATGATATATATAAACTTACAATCTGTCCTTGGGACCCATTTCACTTAACATGATTTCTCCTGTGGCTATTTTGCAATACTTTCCATTCGTGAAGAAAGTTTTTGTAATGTTCCCATTGTTATTTTCTGACAATGAAGTCAACATGATGTTAGAGTCGCAGAAACAGCGTTTACGGCAGAACTTGCCTCTTGGCAAAGTACGTGAGAGAAGAATGTTTGTTGTGATTTCTTCATCAATATGATTTTGGGAGAGAATGAATTGGTAAAAACAAAATTAGATTAAATTGTTTCCTCAAGAAATACAGCCAGTGAAGATAACAATGAACACTTGAACCAAGTCTAATTTTGTTCCATAGCTTGACTGCTTTGCATGGTTGGATTAGAAAGTCAGAAATGTATCTGGTGTGTTTCTGGGGCTTGAGTTACATTTTCATTTTATAAATGAGGAAACAGTGGTCAGAGTAGGGTAGGACTTACCCAAAGAAGATTAGCAGCAGGACTGCAATGAGAAGCTAGGCCTCCTGACTCCCCAGGCACGGTTCTGTCCACTTTTCTAGGGGCTTAGGGTCATTTGCTTTTCCTGCTCTGCACTGAGCACTACTTAATTCTCTCTCTGTCATTACATTAAATGGCTGAATACTGAGGCTCAAATCAACACATAAAAGTCATAGTTCCACATCCCCATGTACACACATTCTTGCCACTTCCTCAGAGGAACAGAATCTATGAAAGTATGATGCAAAAACAGTCAATCTGCTCAGTGGGAAGGTACCACGGTAGAGTACAAATATTTTGGGCTTTAAAATGAGACCAATCTGGGTATTAAACCTGGCCTATCTCGAACTAGCTGCATGGCCTTGAGCATACTACAGAACCTCTGAGCCTGAGTTTAGTATTTGGCCCGGGAAAAGTTCTATGAACGTGCATTAGCACCTCTTTCTGATCCATAGCAGTTTACATCAGATGAGGCAGTAGACAGATCATATGTGAACATTTAGAATAGAGAGGTAGCTCCTAAACTTCTCAAATGTGAGGAAAGCATTTTACAATGAAAGAAATTTTCATGTGCTACTCCCAATATCCACTACATATGTACAATATGTAATATTTATTCACTCTACAGGCAGTTCTTGTGACATATGTGGATTTCTCAAACCCTTGTCACAGCCTCAAAGGAAATCTGACCCTCTCTCTCCACCAATAACTATCCCATCTCATACCGATTCCCAAGATGATGCCCTTCTGGGAAATACTTGATTACTCAATAACTACTGATACATTTTTGTATTTTCTGTAAAGACATACCAATATAGAATATGCGGTATTCGAAAATAAAATTTCTTCTACAATAAAAATCTACTACTCATTTAATAAAAAATTAGAAGAGCAACTTCAATAACTGGGAAAATGCATATTCTCAGATCCTACAAACATGATTTCCTAGAAAAGAAAATGCATTTTCCCAGTTATTAAAATTGTTCTTTTATCCTTTCAGCTGTTAATATAGTTAATAAAATAAGCTTTTTACCAAATTATAACTATTTTATCCTTTGAAATGTAAAAACTACATTTTTGTATATTCCTTTTTCTAAGACATTCCAATAACTTATTTAGTTTTTATATATAATGCTTATCAGACAAGAAAAATATAATACTTACTGGATCTACTCAATTGAGGCACAAAAACCTGTTTTGCTTCCCTGTCCAGAAAGTAACAGCCCTGAAACAGGCAACATGTGGGCATCTCATGGTTTTTCAGCTCTTTGGCTCCTTGCCACCCATGGTCATGAAGAGGAGCTGATGATCATAGTGGTATCATTTTTACTCTGGAATCAGACCCAAGACGACAATCCTGTAAAACAAGCCTGTTCAAAGTCCACAGTAACCAAACCAGATTCTCTTCTGTTGTCACTTTTTATATGGTCACAAACCCTCCAAGTCCTTGTGGACCTTAGGGTTTAAGACTTCTAGTCACTGTTTCATTGTTTTCTAGAGTCAACTACTTGAAGTTCCATCCAATTTCCCTGTCACTTCTAAGTTAGTCTAAAGGAGTCGTTACTGCTGAAGGACTATTATATTAAATGGAAACAGTCTGTACCTACGATGGTTTTATCTAAACATGCTACTTTCCCTGACCATGTGTGTCTCTGGGTATGCGAATGTCTTTGGGATGGAAAGGGTGTATTGAATGAATGCTTTCCCCTGGGAATTCTCATGTCGAGACCCATGCTGCCTAATGTCAGTTCTCAGGGACAATTCTCCACTGCCAATCTCAAATTGCACATTGTTAATGTGTGCCATTAAGATTAATCTTTGCTTTAGCTGTCAGTTCTTATTTACGGAACCAAATATTCTTTGCTGCAGTTAAATCTAGTTATGAAATCTTCCCTGATTCTAAGGCTCTCACACCACCTTAAATTGACTGGCCTTAATTTGAGGATTGAGGGTGTAAGAGGTTAAAATCCATCTGAATGCACAATTCAGATAATACAGAAGAAACAGGATTCTCTTACAGATTCTTTAAAGGAAGTATGACCCCAGAATTTTATTACACATACATTTATAAGGTGCTTGGTCAAATATACATAACAGAAGAGAAGAAAACAACTATTGATTGAAGACCTATCATATATGGACATGGTGTGCCTTCACAGTTTTACAAACAGTGACTCCTTTATAGCAACCATATGGAGTTGGTTGCTTTCTCCAGATTATAAATAAGGAACATAAATATTAGAGAGATAACTAACTTACCCAAAGTGACACGGCTATCAAGCATAATGGCAAAACAAACAGAAAAAAAACAGGAATTTCTGGTTATCTGCAGATGATTTTGTCCCTGCAACACACTGAACAAGAAGAGATGAGCTTTCAATGTTATTTCTAATTTTCCCAACTAATTAATGCCCGTAAAAATTACAGCCTACAAGGTCACAAAATTTAGCACATAATGCTAAACAGTTGTATTTAGACATGTGTAGATCCTAATTCCAAAGTATGTAAAGAATTAAGCAACTGAATCATTAGAATTCATTTATTACTCATTTCAGGAGTCATTATTCATTAATTTCAGCTGAGGAGATTCTGTTTTCACCATGTAGTCATTCCTATCACAAAAAGGACTGTGGGTAGAAATTTTCACTGGTGTGCTTAAGGATCTATTATACTATTTATATTCCCTGTAGAGAACATGAGCTCTTCAAACTCATTGAAGATGGGCATCCTAGGTCTGAGTCATAAGGAAATTCACAGGTGACCAACTTCCGTCTAATACAGAAATATGGCTCTGACAACCTGGTAGCAACAGTTTAGTTAATTCTTAGCACAGTGTGCAAAGGACTGGACTTGGTAAGAACGGAGACATTTCTTACCCTTCCTGACACTATGTAGAGTCAAAAGCACCAAGACACAACTTTATAAACATAAGGTCTGGGATAGTATAATTATTCAATTAATGCTTATGGAAAAGAGGCAAAATGGGGATGGAGGAAGGGAAGAAAGATACAGCAGCTAGAGAGGGTGGAGCAAGATAATAGAATAGAAAGTTCTACCAATCATCGCTTCTATAAAGATACCAAGTAAAAATAATCTTCATAGAAAAAATACCTTCATGAGAACCAAAAATCAGGTGAGCACTCACAGTACCCAGTCTTAACTTCATATCACTGAGAGGCATGGAAGATATTTAAAAAAAAAAAAAAAGATGAAGAAAACCCTCCTCCATCCCCAGCAGCCTTGGCTTGGTGCAGAGAGTATCTCTGGACACTGGGGGATGGAGAACACAGCAATTATGAGGCACGGAACTCAGTATTGTCCTGTTAGAGCAGAAAGAAAATCTGGACCTAACTCAGTGACACCCACCTATGGAGGGAGCATTTAAACCAGCCCTAGCACTAGACACAGGGCAATTACTGATCCCAGGTATCTGAACTTGGGTTTTTGCAAACCCCACCACCAAGGGCTATGCTCTGTGTCTCCCAGTAAACTTGAAAGGCAGTATAGGCCATAAAGACTGCAACTCTTTGGTGAGTCCTAGTACTGAACCAGGCCCAGAGACAATGAACTTGGGGCCATGGGGCATACAGAGACACCAGCTTGGGCAGCCAACAGAGTGTTGATATCATCCCTTACCAAATCCCAGACTGCACAGCTTGTGTCTCCAAAAGAGACCCCTTCCTTATACTTGAAAAGAGAAGAAGAAAGAGTGAGGAGGACTTGCATCTAGGATATCAGCCCACCCACAGCAGGACAGGACACCAGTTAGAGATGTGAGACCCTCATTCCAGGCCCGAGCTCCCAGATGACCTTTCTAGACACACCCTGGGCCAGAAGGGAATCTGCCACCTTGAAGAAAATAGGACCCAGTCCTGGAAGCATTTATCCCCTTCTAGCTGAAGAGTCTTTGGGCCCTGGACAGCCAGCAGCAATACCCAGACACTATCTTAAGAACCTTGGGTGAACCTCTGAAGCTTGGTGGCTTCAGATGAGGCTCAGCACATAACCAGCAGTGGTGGCTATAGGGCAAAATTCCAGCTTGAGAAAAGCAGAAGGAAAAGTAAAGGGGACTTTGTCTTGCACCTGAGGTAACAGCATAGCCACAGGGGAGTGGAGCACCAAGTGGGCTCTTGGGGCCCTTGATTCCAGAACTTGACTCTTGGACAGCATTTCTGGATCAACTCTGGGCCAGAAATGAGCCCACTGCCCTAAAGGGTAATTCCCAGGCCAGGTAGCATTCATGACAAGCTGGCTTTAGAGACCTTGGCCTTAAGGGAACATCAGCAGTAGTCTGGCAGTACTCCTCATGGCCTTGGGTGGCAGTGGCTATGGGCAAGACTCTTCTGCTTTTAGAAAGAGGAGGAAAGAGTAGAAGGACTGTTGTGTGGTTTGAGTGCCAACACCAGGTAGACCTCTAAGATTTTTGACTCTAGTTCCTGCTTCCCAGATGGTACTTCTGGACCCATCTGGGGTTTACGGGACCTTACCACCCTGAAGGGAAACACACAAGCCTAGCTGGCTTTGCCATCTGCTGAGAGCTCCAGGGCCTTGAGTGGACACAGGCAGTAGCCAGGGAGTGGTTACAGCAGGTCTTGGGTGAGACCTAGCCCTGTGCTGATTTCAGGTCTCACCCAGTGCAGTCATAGTTATTGTGGCCACAGGGATGCTTATGTCACTCTACCCTCAGCTTTAGGTGGCTCAGAACAAAGAGAGATTCTGTTTGATTGGGAGAAAGTAAGGGAAGGGAACAAGAGTCTCTGTCTGGTTATCCAGATAATTCTTCCGGATCTTGTCCAAGACTATCAAGGTGGTACCTCTATGAGTCTGCAATAACCACAGTGTTTCTGGGCTTGGGGTATCCCCTGAAGGAGATATAGCTTGGATTACAACATTGAAGTCCTTTCACATGTCTGAAAAGCCTTTCCAAAATGAATAGCTACAAATATGCCCAAGCAGTGAAAACTACAATAAATATCTAACCTTTCAATGCCCAGACATTAAAGAACATCTACTAGCATCAATGCCATCCAGGAAAACATGGCCTCACCAATTAAACTAAATAAGACATCAAGGACCAATCCTGTAGAAACAGTGGAATGTGACCTTTCTGACAGATAATTCAAAATAGCTGTTGAGGAAACTCAAAGAAATTCAATAGAACACAGAAAAGGAATTCAGAATTGTATGAGATAAATTTAACAAAGACATTGAAATAATGAAAATAAATCAAGCAGAAATTCTGGAGCTGAAAGATGTAATTGGCATACTGAATAATGCACCAGAGTCCTCTAATAGCAGAACTGATCAAGCAGAAGAGAGAATTAGTGAGTGTGAAGGTAGCCTATTTGAAAATACACAGTCAAAGGAGAAAAAAGAAAAAAAAACAAAGAAACACATCTACAGGATCTAGAAAACAGGCTCAAGAGGGCAAATCTAAGAGTTACGGGCTTTAAAGAGAAAATAGAGAAAGAAATAGGGATGGAAAGTTTATTCAGAGGGATAATAACAGAGAACTTCCCAAACGTAGAGAAATATATCCATATCCAAGTATAAGAAGGTTATAGAACACCAAGCAGATTTTAACCTAAAGAAGACTATCTTAAGGCATTTAATAATCAAATTTCCAAAGGTTAAGGATAAATATATGATTCTAAAAGCAGCAAGAGAAAATAAATAAATAGCATACCATGGAGCTCCAATATGTCTGTCATCAGACTTTTCAGCAGAAACCTTACAGGTCAGGAGAGAGTGGCATAACATATTTAAAATGCTGAAGAAAAAAAAAATTTTTTTACCCTAGAATAGTGTATCTGGTGAAAATATCCTTCAAACATGAAGGAGAAATAGACTTTCCCAGATAAACAAAAGCTGAGAGATTCATCAATACCAGACCTGTCCTACAAGAAATGTTAATGGGAGCACTTCAATCAGAAAGAAAAGGACATTAATGAGCAATAAATAATCACCTGAAGATACAAAACTCACTAGTAATAGTAAGTACACAGAAAATCATAGAATATTTTAACACTGTCACTGTGATATGTAAACTTCTCTTAGGCCAAATAGAAAAAGTAAACAGTGAACCAATAAAAAATAATGACTACAAAAACTTTTCAAGACACAGGCATTAATTATCTAATAAGAGATAATTAGATACTACAAAAAGTTTAAAAGTGGGGCAATGAAGTTAAGGCTTATAGTTTTTATTTTCTTTTTGCTTGTTTCCTTCTTTGTTTATGCATATAGTGTTAAGTTGTTATCAGATTAAAGATAGTATTTGCAAGCCTCATGGTAATCTCAGACCAAAAACATACAAGGGGGTACACAGAAAATAAAAAGCAAGAAACTAAATTGTATCACCAGAGAAAATCAAATTCACTAGAGAAAGACAGGAAGGAAAGAAAGAAGGAAGAGAAGATCATAAAACAACCAGAAAACAAATGACAAAACGGTAGGAATAAGTCTCTACTTAGCAGTAGTAACATTGAATGTAAATGGAGTAAACTCTCTAATCAAAAGGCATGGATTGACTGAAAGGATGACAAAAGAAGACCCATTGATTTGTTGCCTACTATAAACACACTTCACCTATAAAGACACAGGTAGACTGAAAAGAAAGGAATGGAAAAAGATATTCCATGCCAATGAAAACCAAAAAGAGCAGGAGTTGCTATACTTATATCAGAAAAAATAGATTTCCAGACCAAAACTATAAGAAGAGACAAAGAAAGTCACTGTATAATGATAAAGGTGTCAATTCAGCAAGAGGATATCACAAATTTAAATATACATATACCAACGCCCAGATATATAAAGGCAGTATTATTATAGCTAAAAAGAGAGACAGACATGACACAATAATAGCATGACACAATAACAGAATGGGGTATGCACTTCAATATCCCACTTTCAGCATTAGACAGATCTTCCAGACAGAAAACCAACAAAGAAACATCAGACTTAATCTGCACTACTGATCAAATGGATCCAATAGTTATTTACAGAGCATTTCGTCCAAGAGCTGCAGGATACACATTCTTTTCCTCAGCACAAGGATCATTCTCAAGGACAGACCATATGTTAAGTCATAACACCTTCAAGAAATTTGAAATAATATCAAGCATCTTCTTTGACCACAATAGATTAAAACTAGCAATCAATAACAAGAGGAATTTTAGAAACTATACAAATACATGGAAATTAAACAATGTGCTCCTGAATGACCAGTGAGTCAATGAAGAAACTAAGAAGAAAATTTTAAAAATTCTTGAAACATAAAATAATTGAAACACAACATACCAAAACCTATGGAATACGATGAAAGCAGTACTCACAGGGAAATTGATAGTGATAAGTGCATATATCTAAAAAGAGGAAAAACTTCAAATAACCAACTTAATAATTCATCTTAAAATACTAGCAAGCAAGAGTGAACCAAACCCAAAATTAGTAGAAGAAAGAATAAAGATCAGAACAGAAATAATTTTGAAACAAAAACAATGCAAAAGATCAATGAAACATGTAAAGTTGGTTTGTTGAAAGGTAAACAAAATTGGTGAACCTTTAACCAGACTGACTAAGATAAAATGAGAGAAGGTCCAAATAAATAAAATTGGAAATGAAAAAGGAGACGTTACAGCTGATATTGCAGAAATTCAAAGGATCATTAGTGGCAACTATGAGCAACTATATACCAATAAATTGGAAACTCTAGAAGAAATGGACAAATTCCTACACATGTACCACCGACTGAAACTGAACTAGGAAGAAATCCAAAACCTGAATAAACCATAACAAATAATGAAGTTGAAGCCATAATTAAAAGTCTTCTGGCAAAGAAAAGTGTGTTACTTGATGGCTTCACTGCCCAATTATACTAAACATTTAAAGAAGAGCTAATACCAATCCTACTCAAACTATTCTGAAAAATAGAAAAGGAAGGAATATTTCCTAATTCATTCTAAAAGGCCAGTATTATCCTGATAACCAAACCAAAAATAAATAAAAAAACCAGAACTACAGGCCAACATCCATGATGAACATTGATGCAAAAATTCTTAATAAAGTGCTAGCAAATAAATTCAACAATACATATCAAAGATCATTTATCATGACCAAGTGGAATTTATCCCTGGGATGCAAGGATGGTTCAACATATGCAAAGCAATCAATGTGATACCGCATATCAACAGAATGAAGGATAAAGACAATATGATTTTTTCCATTGATGCTGAAAATGTATTTGAAAAAATTCAACATCCCTTCATGAAGAAAACCCTCAAAAGACTACAGAGAGAAGGAACATACCTCAACATAATAAAAGCTATATACAACTGACCCACAGCCAGTATCATACTGAATAGGGAAAAACTGAAAGCCTTCCCTCCAAGATCTGGAACAGCAAGGACGTTCACTGTGAACATAGTTATTCAACACAGTACTGGAAGTTGTAGCTACAGCAATCAGACAAGAGACAGATATAAAGGGCATCCACATTGGAAGAAAGAAGTCAAATTATCCTTGTTTGCAGATAATATGATCTTATATTTAGAAAAAAAATAAAGATTCCACAAGAAAACTATTGGAACTGATAAATTCAGTAAAGTTGCAGGATACAAAATCAACATACAAAAATCAATAGCATTTCTATATGCTAAAAGTGAACTATATGAAAAGGAAATTTTTAAAATCTCATTTATATTAGTCACACATAAAATTAAATACCTAGGAATTAATTTGACCAAAGAAGTAAAAGATCTTTATAATGAAAAAAAAGGGCAAAAAATTTGAATAGACATTTCTCAAAAGAAGACAATTCAAATTGCAAACAAGTGTATAAAAGGTGCTTGATCAGTGGATCACCAGAGAAATGCAAATCACAACCACAATGACATATCATCTCACCCCAGTTAAAGGCTTATATCTGAAAGACAGATAACAACAAATGCTGACAAGAATGTGGAGAGAAGGGAACCCTTTCTGCTGGTGAGAATGCAAATTAGCACAACCACTATGAAGAACAGTTTGGAGGTTCCTCAAAAAAACTAAAAATGGAGCTACCATATTATCCAGCAATCCCACTACTGAGAATATACCCAAAAGAAAGGAAATCAGCATATTGAAGAGATAACTACACTCCTATGTTTATTGCAGCTCTGTTGACAATAACTAAGATTTGGAAGCAACCCAGGTGTCCATCAACAGATGAATGGATATAAAAATATGGTACACATACATAATTGAGTACTATTCAGCCAAAAAAAGAATAGATGGGGCATGGATAGAACTGGAGATCATTATGTTAGGTGAAATAAGCCAGGCACAGAAAGACAAACATCACATGTTCTCACTTCTAGGATCTAAAAATCAAATCAATTGAACACATGACACAGAGAGTAGGATGGTTACCAGAGGTTGGGAAGGGTAACGGGAGTTGGCGGTGGAGAGGTGGGGATGGTTAATGTATACAGAAAATAGAAAGAATGAATAAGACCTACTATGAGATAGCACAATAGGTGACCATAGTCAATAATAATTAAATTGTACATTTAAAAATAAAAATGTAATTGAATTGTTTGTAACTCAAAGGACAAATGCTCAAGGGAATGGATACCTCATTCTCCATAATGTGCTTACTTCACATTGCATGCCTATATCAAAACATCTCATGTACCCCATAAATATATACACCCACTATGTACTCACAAAATTTTTTTTTTAATTTAAAAAGATATAGCAGGTAACATTTTTCCTTTAAAAAAAAAAAGTCTTGGTGGCTCACGCTTGTAATCTCAGCACTTTGGGAGTCTGAGGCAGGCAGATCACCTGAGGTCAGGAGTTCGAGATCAGTCTGACCAACATGGAGAAACCCTGTCTCTACTAAAAATACAAAAATCAGCTGGGCATGGTGGTGTCTGTAATCCCAGCTACTCGGGAGGCTGAGGCAGGAGAATCACTTGAACCCAGGAAGCAGAGGTTGTGGTGAGCCGAGATCGTGCCATTGCACTCCAGCCTGGGTAAAAGAGCAAAACTCTGTCTCAAAAGTCTAAGTAAACCCTTGCTTACGATATCAGGCTGAACACATTCACCTAACCTTGGCTGTCTTTCCCAAAATCTACTTAAATGCCATTACACGCTACAGTGTTTCTGTTATTGTTTATCTGTCTACGTATTTGTTTGTTTCAAGGTGTAAAGATCCAAGGACAAGGAAAAGAAAAAGGATCTAAGAATAACAACATTTTGAAAAATGGAAAGTAACCGAATGAGTTAGTGACAGACTTAGCAGAATCCTATGCTGGAAAAAGATGTAATTTCAAAACCATAGGAACAAAGAAATGATTCCCCAAGTTTGCAAAGAAAAAGCATAGCTTTCACATAAAAGGTCAATAATTACATTGGCATCCTAATTGTAAACAGAAATCGTAGAACCAAAGGAAAATTGGGCAATGCCTTTAAATTTTAAAGGAAAATGTGTCCTTTCCAGACAATTATACCCAACTGAGCTACCAATTAAATGTGTTGACAGAACAAAGCCATTTCTAGACATAAAAAACTTTTTTAAAACTATCAACCATATTTAATTCCTCATGACACTACTATAGGATATATTTTATGAAAACAAGAGAATAAAGCAAAGGTAAGGCATGTGACCTGGGAAATAGTACCACCAACATTACAATGCACACAGAATGTTGAATACTGCATGATTCCATGTCTGTGAGGATTCTAAAATAGCCAAACTCATAGAAGCAGAGAATAGAACGATGGTTGACTGGGGCTGGAGAAGGGGGAAATGGAGAATTGCTGTTCAATGGTTGTAAAATTTTAGGCAAGATGAAAAGTATTGGAAATCTGATGCACAACATGGCATCTGTATTGGTTCCTTTTCACACTGCTACAAAGAACTGTCCAAGACTGGGTAATTTATTTAAAAAATAAGTTTAATGGACTCACAGTTCTACTTGGCTGGGGAAGCCTCAGGAAACTTACAATCATGGCAGAAGGCAAAGGGGAAGCAAAGATCTTCTTCACATGACTGCAGGAAAGAAAGCTAGCAAGAGCCAAAGAAACTGCCTTATAAAACCTAGTCACAGATCTCACGAGAACTCATTCACTATCATGGGAACAACATGGGGGAACTGCCCCTATGATCCAATCACTTCCCATCAGTTCTCTCTCTCTAAACACTGGGAATTACAATTCAAGATGAGATTTGAGTGGGGACACAAAGTCTAATCTTATCAGTATCTTTTGATAATACTGTATTGCAACTTAAAATTATATTAAGTGGTAAATCTCACATTAAATGTTCTTGCCAAAATAATAACAACCTCAGCAAAACCAAGGGAATCTCAGTTTAAAAGTGAAGGCAAATTACCAGCTGACTCCTTGTAGAGCCCTGGAGAATATTTGTTGTAAGTGAGGTTCTTCAGAAACAGATGCTGAGAAGGAATTGGCATGCAGGCTATTTATTAGAGACCATTGCTTCTAAGGGATTGAAAAGAAGGGAGACAGAAGAATCAAGATTGAGCAGGGAGAGAAGGTGAATTATGATGCAGACAGAACAAACCTTTGGTCAACCCCTCAGGGAGCTCTGGAGGATTAAAGTGCAGTAGAGTTGTCCCACGGTGGGATGAAAGAATTTTCATAGCCTTCTCATTATCAGTTATTGAATATGGGTTACTCGGAAGGGCATCCTCTCAAGCAAGAAAGCTCTCTGCAGCCAAGGAAGAATATGAAGAGGCCAACAGCTGTCTGTTGGTTGGCTCATTCCCAGCAACTAGAATAACAGGTCCCGTCTAGAAGGAAATTTTAGACAATGCATCTCCTATGTTCACCCCACTGGTCTACATTGGAGCTGGTGAAAAGAGTATAGAAGAGTGTTCTTCTAAGATATCAAATTAGTAGAATGCCTAACATTTAAATTTATACAACAGGGGATAAGATTGGGGACGAATTAATGATGATTACATAGAAACCTAAGCAAATGATAAAAATAAGATTAATTCCAAGAACAAAATATTGTGCATGAAAAGTTATCACACAATACTTCATACCCAGCTATAAATCATCGTTATATGGCCATAAAATTACATTGAAAGAATGAGGGAATGAGAAACATGAATGGAGGTAATTCCTCATTACACAATAGTGGGAAATCAATCATCATACTTAAAATAATTTTTACACATCAAGATGTAGTGACACAAGTTTGCTTTAAATATATAAAGATATATGCTTGAAGATTCTATTAGAAGGGTTGCAAGTGGTGGTCTGCGTGTACAGGCACATAGGATTAGCTGCTTTTCATAGAAATATGTTCTTGTGTAGCTTTGATAAAATTGACCCTAAATTTCTATTATATTCTGGGCTTCCTGATATGGAAAATGCTAGGGTC